GAAGACGGCTTCTGCTTCCATCACAAGTGTGGAAAATACATCTCCTCCTCAATGGCTTCTAGTACCACTTCACTGTAATAAGGGCTTGGATATGGACCACTAAGAGTATCTCCAGGTCTATGTAACTGAATTGAGGAAGGACAAATAAGCAGTAAGAAAATTTAGTTTGCTCTTTTTCTTTTGCCAATTTGGGCTTAACTGGACAAAACTTGTTTCTTCATATCACATGCTATACCAAACAAGGCGACAAGGAAGGCTTCCTTATCAAGATTATTTCTGGTCACTCATAAACAATGAGCAATTCCAGGAGGAACAGGCCCAGGTGTAACTGCCTGTATATCTCATCCTGGGCGTCCAAGCATTAAAGATACATCTTAAGCTTGTCTGCCTAGCTGCTGAAGAAGCACTTCTCATATTCATAGTAAATGGCCAACTCTCTTCATCTGTAAACAAGTATGGTGGTGGTGGTTTAGTCACTAAGTCATATCTGACTCTTGCGACCCCATGAACTGTAGCCAGGCTACAGTTCCAGGCTCCTCTGTCCACGGGATTCTCCAGGCAAGAATACTGGAGTGGGTTGCCATTTCCTTCTCCAGTAAAACAAGCATATTTTTTTAAAAATGTATTTATTTACTTATTTGGCCACATCAGGTCTTAGTTGCAGCCTGCAGGATCTTTGTTGGATCATGAGGGAGCTTTTCTTGGGGCTCACAGGCTCTACTTGCAGAGCATGGGCTTAGGTACCCCACAGGATGTAGGATCTTAGTTCCGTGACCAGTGATTGAACTCGCATCCCCTGCATTACAAGGCAGATTCTTAACCACTGGACCACCAGGGAAATCCCACAAATATAATACTAATCACACTGGAGTACTAAGAAAATTAAAAGAGATGGCAGGTTTTAAGAGCCTAACAGGGCCTCATCCATGGGAAACAATACTGCTCATGCTCCTCTTTTCTCCCAGGCCCAGGGAATACACCAACGCTGGATTCCAGGCTTCTGCCAAGTAAGACTTCAGAGACCCCAGAGGCAGAGAAGCTAGTTGCTTTACTCGTGGTGAGCCACCGGGGCCAACATGAAGACTAAAGAATGGACAACTACAGCTGGGGGAGAGAGAGGTAAGCACTGCTATCAGGCGATACGTTTTCAGGTTGGCTGATGACTGTCAAAGGTGAAAGGAAAGAACACTGGGATTGGTGAGAGCCAAGGAACTGGGTTCAAATTTTAGCTCCAGGGGTCACCTGTCGGACTATGGGCAAGTCAGTTAACCTAGTTTTAAATGTCTTCACCCGAAAAAATGTAGATACTTCTTTTGTAAGGTTGGGGAGGGGGGTTGTTTTGTTTGTGGATTAAAAAAGATAGTACACTGGAAAGTATGATAGACACTTTACATTTTTTCCCTACGCTATCCTGGGGTTCCAAGAAATATCAAGTAAGCATCCCCAAGGTCTAAGAAAAAAAGCATTGAGTAGGGCCCCTGGGTTCAGAAAGAACCACTGAAACTAACCCAGAAATGATCCATATTAAAAGTTTTCTGGATCTGTTCAGTTCAGTCGCTCAGTCGAGTCCAACTCTTTGCAACCCCATGAATTGCAGCACGCCAGGTCTCCCTGTCCATCACCAACTCCCAGAGTCTACCCAAACCCATGTCCATCGAGTTGGTGATGCCATCCAGCCATCTCATCTTCTGTCGTCCCCTTCTCCTCCTGCCCCCAATCCCTCACAGCATCAGGGTCTTTTCCAATGAATCAACTCTCTTCATGAGGTGGCCAAAGTATTGGAGTTTCCAACATCAGTCCTTCCAGTGAACACCCAGGACCGATCTCCTTTAGGATGGACTGGTTGGATCTCCTTGCAGTCCAAGGGACTCTCAAGAGTCTTCTCCAACACCACAGTTCAAAAGCATCAATTCTTCAGTGCTCAGCTTTCTTTACAGTCCAACTCTCACATCCATACATGACCACTCGAAAAACCATAGCCTTGACTAGACAGACCTTTGTTGACAAAGTAATGTCTCTGCTTTTTAATGTGCTATCTAGGTTGGTCATAACTTTCCTTCCAAGGAGTAAGCATCTTTTAATTTCATGGCTGCAGTCACCATCTGCAGTGATTTTGGAGTCCCCAAAAATAAAGTCTGACACTGTTTCCACTGGGCCCTAAACAAATTCATGCTTTGAAGTCTGGTGACATCTAAAGGATTAATTCTGTGAATCCAGAGAACCACAGGTTGTAAAGCAGCACAAGGTTCAGAGCTCAGAAGACACAGAGAAAAACGCTTACACAGGGGACGAGGATACAAGAGCAAGCCCTACAACGGGACAGCAGGAGGAACAGACGCACATGCAGGCAGTACACTGAGGCACCCCGCGCCTCACTACATCACAGTGACACCTACAGGAGGGACGGGGCTGAAACAGGGAAAGGTTGTCCCAACATGGCCTGAGCTCTGATGCCTAAAAGTACACGGTTCCAGGGGCAAGAGGGAAAAAATATACAGAAATTAAATTTTAAAAAGAGTTAGACAAATTGTATTTTATGATAAGGATTATCTACACTAGAAGTCCATAAAAGGATTCTAAATCAAGAATAACTTATTCTTGATTAGGCTGGAATGAGTGAACAAAACAAGGAAAACCGACATTTCCAAATCTGCTCTCAACACTTTTCTGCGTCTGTGATTTCCTTTCTTGTAACAGGCTAGGATACAAATACCAGAAATCTGGTTTGTGTACTGGCACACAACTACCTAGGTTTATGGGGGAGAATAATAATCACAGAAATAGTCTATTTTCCCAAGCTCAAAACTTGGGTCTTAGAAACCCTGTGCTCACAGCTCCCGAGGCTGCCATCACCAGCTGATTAGAATTTAAACCCAAGAGAAAAACCTATCTGAAACCCTTGGTTAGACCTACCTTATTCATATAATTGCAATGAAATACTTACTTAGCCCTGGAGTAAAGCAGTCAAAGGGACAAAACTGTACTCAAAATAGTAAAAATAGAACTATCATATGATCCAGCAATTTCACTTTAGGGTGTATATCTAAAGAAAATAAGAATGCTAACTCGAAAAGACACGCACCCCCATGTTCACTGCGGCATTATTTAGAAGAGCCATGATACAGAAACAACTTGAGGGTCCACTAATGAAAAGAAAAGACAGAAAATGTGATACACACACACACACACAGAGGAATATTATTCAGCTATAAAAAAAGAATGAAATCTTGTTATTTGCAATACCATGGATGAACCTTGAGGGCACTATGCTAAGTGAAATGAGTTAGAGAAAAACAAACACTGTGTGACCTCACTTATATGTGGAATCTGAAAACAAACAGCAAGCTCATAGATACAGAGAACAGACTGGTGGCTGCCAGAACTGGAGGTAGGGGGTGGGAAAAATGAGTGACGGGAGTCAAAAGGTACCAGCTCCCACTTAGGACACAAATGAGTCACAGCGATATAATGTGCAGCACAGCGACTACTGTTAATCGTAACTAACTAAAGTTAATCCACCTTACTGGAGATTTGAAGCTGCTAAGAGAGTAGGTCTTAAAAGTCCTCATCACAAAAAAAAAATTGGGGGAACTATGTAAGGTGACAGATGTTAACTAGATTCAGTGTGGTGATATACACAAACATGGAACCATTGTTATACACCTAAAACTAATATCATGATACATGTCAAATATACCTCAACTGAAAAAAAAAAAAAAAATGCCAGAAGAAAAAAAAAAAAAAGGAAAAAACTGTCACAGGGTTGAGCAGAGCTGCCTGAATCACTACTAGGGGAAAGGAGAAAAAAGGAGACTAAACTGACCAGAGGAACAAGTGGAAACCACCAAACTTTCTACAGTAGCTGCCAAAACAGGAAGTTTACTTTAACAGATAATCACAGGAAGACAGGTTGAAAAAAGAAAACTGAGACAGCAAGATATAAAATAAAATAGAATCTTTCCTATTTCCCACTGTCACAGAGGTAGGTAAAATTTCTTTGTTTCAGGTAGTTATTATAAAATTCTAAACAAATATTTATGAACAAAAGATGTTTTACAATTGTCAGACATTATTCAACTATCAAATAAAATAATAAAGGGTGATTTAATTTTAAAAACTTCGATAAAGTAACTGCACAAATACACCAAAGTGCCACAAATAGCCCTGTGATTAGTATCTTTAACAAACTAGTCTAGATAAAGGTCACTTGCAACCAGTGTATCTCAAAAATAATCTTTAAAACAAGATGGTATATTCAACATTGCAGTGGGAGTTGTAGCCAGAGCAATGAGGCCAAGATAAGAATAAAAGGCGTCCAAATTCGAAAAGAAGTAAAACTATGCAGAGAAACGACCCTACGTGTGCAAAATCCTAAAGAAGTCACAAACACTATTCAAGCTAATAAACAGATTCAGCGAAGTTGCAGGATACAAGATCTACAGGGACTGTAAATATTCATAATCTTGGATCTGGCATTGGTTTGTTAGATAGAACACAACATGTGGAAATTAAATGACATGTTTCTGGTTAACCAATGTATCAAAGAATAAATCAGACAGTATCTTGATTCAAAGAAAATGGAAATACAACACATCAAAACTTACGGGATACAAAAGCACTTCGGAGACGGCAGTTTACAGCAAAAAAAAAAAAACTCAAATAAACAGCCCAACTTTATGGCTAGCTGCTTAATGGCACAACGCTTCCCTGTGGGGCGATGAAAACGAAAGAGAAGGAAGCAGTGGCTACACAGCACTGTGATTGTACTAAATGCCACTTTAAAACGGTTAACTTTTATGTTGCATGAATTAAACCTCAATTAAAAATGCAAAAGAGGGGTTGGGACATGGTTTAACTATCTAAAATATTTTAAACAAATTTATTTTCTGTTCAGAAAACACCACCGAAATAAAGCAGTTCATCACAGCATGTTTTTAAAATAAAGTTACTCTCCCAAATACTTCTTAAGAATAATATTAACAGTATGCCCTATTTCTTACCAGAAGACTCTTTTCCATTCTGTTTTTCATAGAGGGTGCCCACAGACATCAGGAAAACAATAACCAGGAATACTGGAATTCTCCATGAGCCAGCCAAGGATGCTGCAAATCATTAAGAAATCAACATGTTTAGTGAAATAAAAACCTAGCACTTGCCTTTAAAGACTCAGTTTAGTAGACTGACAGAAGAATTTGGCAAAATATGTGAATAAGAAAATAGTTTCACAGGGAAAAAAAAAATTTTTTTAAGGCCACCAGACAGCTGAAACCTCAGTTCAGGGATCCTCTCAGGAAATCCGGCCCCGCTCTAAAGAATGAGGATGTGCCAGTCTACCTTTAAGGGGCATGTTTCCTGAGGAATCAAGTCCATTCTAAAGCACACTCAGGGTTTAGGACCATCAAGCCCCACATCTAACCCCAGAAGGACCTGCATCAGGCACAGAACCTTAAGTCATGGTGTCTGACTTGCACTCCTGAAAAGAGCTGGGTGTGAATTCTACCTCTCAAGAAAGAGTGGAATGGCCCACAGGAGCATGGCAAAAAGCTTTAATGCAACCTAACAGGTGGCCAAGGATCAAAAGCCATTTGCACTTCCCCGAGCTGGTCTAGGGCTTTAGGAACATACCTGCCAGTCTCCCTCCTATACCTTCCCCAGCTCAAAATGAACCCCAACAGATATCAGGGGATCTTGTCGGGAAATTCCTTTAGCATTCCAAGTCAGCAAGCTAGAAAGTTATGCTTTGTTCCTTATCAGATTCTGAGCAAAGACATACTTCCAATCAACTCTAGTTTTCTTCCTAACAATAAGCAGCTCTAAAAACTACTTCTAATAGGCTATCTATGACTCTAGGTTACTGAATTTTGTTTTTAAATTAGAACTTGATGTTTCCATCAAGTTTTAAAGATAAATTTAAAGACTGATTTAAAGATAAATCAGTCCCTGAAAAATCACTCTACAACATCCTAGCAGCCTCTCAGCTAACAGTGAAGAGTCTCAAATAACAGGGAAACTCATTACTTTGAACAGCTCTGACACTGATCATCCTTTACGTTAAATAGAGTCGTGTCTCTCTGAAGCTACTCCTTGCTCTGACACTTGCCCCAAATGGTCAGAGAGATCTGTTTAAACCACTCTTTCAGAATCCTTCAAATACATGAAACAGGTTTCCATATTTGATATCGTTCCGTCTCCACCTCTCCCCTCCCCTGTAGCCCGGGTGCTCTGCTCTTATGGAGAGTAAACATCTTTGGTTCCCTTAATAGTTCCTCTCACATGATTTTGAGCACCTCTTATCATTTTTACTGCTTATCTATACTTCCTTAAGTAAGACACTCAGAAACAGCCAGGATAGTCCACGTGTGTTCTACTTTTTAAGACATATCAATATTTATTCTCAAAAGAACTTTTTGAAAATGGACATTCCATATAATTAAAAGTAGATATCTTAAAGTATAACATTTTCATTCAAGATTAGTGACTGTTTAAGACAGAACATTTTCAAATGACTAAATAATTTTAAATGCAACACGTAAAACTTCAAAAAATTTGCTTTGATTCACATGGTCAGCCGCTGCTGACCTTAAGCTAGACTTTCTTAGGAAAAAAAAACAGACCCACCTAAATGAAAAAGCAATATAATCCAGACAGGAATTGACATTGCTCTCAAGTAGCGTTCAGTGCTTGCATTCCACTTGAATGAAACAGCCAACACATAGCCAACTACCAAGGTCCAGATCTTAAATAAATGAAATACAGACACAGCTGTAAAATATATACATGTGAAATAAACATACAATTATACAAAACTTGCAAGCCTCTACACAGAGCCTCTACATAGCCTCTACATGAGAGCTGTGGGAACAACGTGGATGACGGCTGGTGGTGCTAACAGAAGAGGGCATAGGTTCTTTTCCTCTTCCTTGATAAATCAAGTTTTGAAATAAACAGGTTTGTTTAATGTTATTATTAAAATCCCATGCAGTGATACTAAATATCTTTAACAAAAAATACATAAATACAGTTTCATTTAAGTTCAAAAGCTACAACATGCATAAAGATACTTAAGATACTCAATTTTTAAGCCATGGATTTAAATTAAGAGCTTCACCTTGTGGAATTCTTAAATGTTTTCTCTATAGATTAATATTTACAAAAGAAAAGAAGAAACAAGTGGGAATCCCCCTGACAGTCCAGTGGTTAGACCTCCACACTTCCACCCCTGGAAGGGAACGGCGGTAGGAGGGCTGGGTTCGATCCCTGGTTGGGGAACAAAGGTCCTGAAAGCTTCACACAAATGGCCAAAAAAGAGAGAGAGAAAGAAAGGAAGCTTTCGAAAAAGCAGCAGGTTAAAAGATTCAATTACAACCTATGAAAATATGCTCGTTACCACTAAAAGAACTTTTTGAAAGCTAAAAAGAAGGCAGGCAGCTGAAGTGTGACCCTGCTGAAATAACCTAGGTAACAGATGGTTAAAACCTAGTCCAGAGTTACACACAGTTGAGGAAGTATAGCTGAAAAAAATATTACCAGAGGAAAAAACAGGAAGACGTGAGAACAGAACAGGTGAACCAGAGCCCCCTCCTGTTTTTGCCTACATTAGAACTAAATGACTCTAAGTATTCACAAACCATCAACGCAGCTGACACAGAAACTCTCAAATAACCTCGTATTTTAATAGAACACACACAAAAGATGGAAAGAATACATAAGCTAGAACAAACGCGAGCACCAACATTTTATTAAAATAACCTGAACCTTGAAAAAAATATAGACAAACTAAAACAAACAAACAAAAAAGGACTTTAGGCTGTAACCCAGAGAATGAAGAAAAATGAACTGATGTGGTTACCACAAAAGACAGAAAAAAACTACCTACTTTATTTTGATCATCTCTGTCAAAATACACTTCAGGTCTAAAATATTTTTATAGCTTCAGACTTGAGAATTCAGTTTTGGGACCTTATTAAATAATGATAAGCCCTGAAAAAGGGTAAAATGTAAAGAACCTAATAGTCATAGTCTAATTTAGGACCTTGAAAAATTAATAACCTAAAGTTTCAATAACTGGGACGTGGTTAACTCTGAATGATTCACTCAATAAAATGTTATGCAATCATTAAAGCAGGCTTTTTTAAATAAAGACTATATAACTTAGAATATTCCTAAGATATTATTAAGGAAAAAGCAAAATACAATAAACACATAGGACAGGATTATATCTATTTCATGGTGGGGGGAAGGAAATGTACTAATAAGTTGTATTTAGGGGATAAGATTTTGTTTTTCCTTTTTCGGTAATTTCCCAGTTGTCTTTAACAAGCACTAATTCTTTTATAACGAAAAGGACATTAAAATATTCTTCTTCAAGCAACTAGTAAGATGAAATATTAAAGAGATCTAAAATCCCAGATGTATGAGCACATGGGAAGTGAGTCTACAGCTGCCTCAAAAAAGTTCAAGCTTGTAGGACCACACAGATTTAACCCTGGGAATTTAGAGAATTTTGAGATAGGCTGGTAGAGCTCAGAACAAAATCTGTGTGTAACAACAATACACTTATATAGCACTTACCGTGGGCTAGGCCTTGCTCTATATTAACACATTATATACATGAACTCACTTAACCCATATAATCCCAGGAGATAAGTACTGCTATCATTCTCATTTTAGAGATGAAAGAAATTGAGACTTCAAAGAAGTGACTTGCCCTAGGTAACACACCTAAAAAGTGAGTCAAGATTAGAACCTGGGGATCTGGGTCCAGAATCTACTTTCTTAACAATAAGGAGAAAAAAGGGTAGTGCCAGAAAAATAAAGAGGAAAAGCTGCTCCAATATTCACAAGGGAAAATAAAAACAGTTGATTGTGATGACTACAAATTGCTGAAATTTTCTTTAAAAATGATCCTCAGAAAAAATAAAAAATAAATTTAAAAAAATAAATAAACAAAAATTATCCTCGGCAAATGGATAGTGCTCAGAGGTATGTGACACAAGCATAACCAGCCCTGTTTTTTAAACATGCACTCAGCAATTTAGACGAAAGACTAGAAGGTGTATTAGCTGAACTTGCAGATTACACAAAGTTGGGAATAGTGAATATAAATGATTCAAAAAGATGTTCCAAAACTAGAACAATGGGCTAACCAAGTAAGATTAAATTTAATAGAGAGGAATGCAAAGTTTTGCTCAGCTATATAAATACAGAATGGGAAGAGAATAGCTCATCAGAAGTATAACTGGTGTGAATGCCTATTAATAAAAGTACGTTAGGGAAAGTGTTTCAGTGACTTGCACTATCAAACCACCTGGGCAATAAAATTCAGAGTGCAAAAAGAAATGGAAATTACAATATAGGAGATACAGACACAGGTGCAGGGTGGGGGGGAATTGTTCAGCTTAGGAAAGAGAAGGAAACAAGATTCAACAGCTATCTTCCAATAGCTGGGGAAATGTCATCTGAGAGAGGCAACAGACAATTTTCTATAGTTCTGAGAGCAGAAATCACAGGTGGAAATTAGGAAGCAACATATTTCAGCTTAATATGATGAATTTTTCTAATAAACTGATTTGAGAGCAGGAGAAGAAGGGGGCAACAGAGATTGAGATGGTCAGATGGCATCATCGACTCCATGGACATGAGTTTGAGCAAGCTCCGGGAGATGGTGAAGGACAGGGAAGCCTGGTGTGCTGCAGTCCACGGGGCTGCAAAGAGTTGGACACAACTGAACGATGGAACAACAACAAATCTAAAAAGGAAATAAGCTACTATCACTGGAAGTTTGAGCAAAAGCTGATGGGGAAGACCAAGTAGGAGAATGTGCCCTCAGTGAGAAGCTGAACCAGAGGATCACAGAGGACGTGCTTTCAGATTTTAAGCCTATGATACTTTTCAACCAGCCTCTAACAAGTTTTTGTTTCTTAGCTATATTCCTAAGGAATTAGTATCACTTGCATAGCAAGGAAAAAAATGAGAGATCGCATGCTTCAAATTTTTTAAAGGAAACTCAAGAGTCGGACACGACTGAAGCGACTTAACACGCGTGCATGCATGATCAAATCATAGCCCTATTCAGATCATTGTTTCAGATACTTCAATCTCCTTTAAAACCATTTTATTATAATTTGCAAACTCTGTTCTCCTCATGATGTGGCAACTTAAGAGTCAAGAATATTTTATAATCAAAGTCTTTACGTGAGAAAGAACCTAAGCACTGGAAAACTTTCCTCCTTACTGTTGCCAGGCAAGCAAAACACACCTAGAAGTGGAATGGAGTAGGCCTGGCCGGCTGGCTAATCTACAATCCCAAAGAGCCTTGCTGGCAGTACTACCAAACTCTTAGGATCTGTAAAACCAAATATCCAGGAACCCTGCATGCGTGCTAAGCCACTTCAATCATGTTCAATTCTGTGCGACCCCAAGGACTGTAGCCCACCAGGCTGCTCTGTCCATTCCAGTATTCTCCATGCAAGAATACTGGAATGGGTTGCCATGTCCTCCTCCAGGGGATCTTCCCAACCCAGGGATCGAACCCAGGTCTCCTGCATTGCAGGCGGATTCTTTACCAGCTGAGCCACAAGGGAAGCCCTAAGCCACTTCAATCGTGCTCAATTCTGTGCGACCCCGTGGACTGTAGCCCACCAGGCTGCTCTGTCCATTCCAGTATTCTCCATGCAAGAATACTGGAATGGGTTGCCATGTCCTCGTCCAGGGGATCTTCCCAACCCGCAGATCAAACCCATGTCTCTTGTGTCTCCTGCATTGGCAGACGGGTTCTTTACTACTAACACCACCTAGGAATTCCCTGATCAGGTTCTTCAAGCTCTCTAAAATTAGGATGATAATTAGACATCATTCAAGATAAGCCAACACTTTACACAACTAGGGTTGAGTAGCCCAGAGATGGATTCTGGTTTGTTCAAAGTCACAAGGCAAGCTACTGACAGAGTCCAGTTTAGAATTTACACTCCTATCTTTCAGCCACTGTTCTTTCCACTTTATACTTCTTTATGAAGTAAATGGAAACAATGCAATCAGAGGCCATGGAGAAAACAAATCCATTACTACCACAAAAACTGTAAATGTCTTCAAATGTTCTAACAATTCTGAACTAAAGGAGGGAGGAAAATCTAAAACACTCCCAGCAAAGAAAAATGGTGGAGCAGGAAGGAGAGCTTTTTAGATTTATCTTGACAGCTCTACACCAAGCAAAGACGACCAAGACCCTAAGGACTGAGATATATCTGAGTCTGGTGCAATAGATGGTTTTTTTTTCCCTGGTGTTTAGAAAATCACTAAGTCAATACAATACTTGAAACTGTTTTTTTTACAACTGCCCATATTATAAATGCTTAGTATTTCACTTGCAGGTATGATGGAGTACTAGGAGAAGAGAAGAGCTAGGAAACGGAAGGAACCCCAAAGTAAGGGGAATAGAAACTGAATGGGAAGGATAATGTGGTAACAAAGGAAAACACGGGTGCTGAAGACACTACAAAGGAAAACGGGATATGACTTGGAAATAAATGAACAGGTATAAAGGTAAAAGAGAGCTGACTAAGATTTCTAGATTACAGGAATTCAGGGGTGTCTGGGGGAATCATGTGTGGGTAGCCCTGATATTCTTCTATTTTTTCTCCCTAATAACTAAAATCAATTTGTACTTAAAAAAAAAATTAAACTAAAAAATGTTCCTCCACAACATACTGGAGGAAAACATTTTAAAATCTTTAGTGAAGGTCTTGATGACAAAGGGCCTTCAACTGCTGATAGGTCTACTGAGTAAGTACCATTTACTGAATGAACAGATCAATCTCGAAATCTTCCCACCTATGAAATCCATCCCTCTGACTTCACATGACTATTGTGAGAATGAAATAACACACATGAAAGTGCCTACCGCTACATGGCAGATGCTCAAAAACTGGATCTTAAATGCATGAACTGTCGGCTCTCCAAAATGTAGATTTGCTTAAACTCACTTTTCTCTCTACCTCGCCCATCCGTATCTCTCCCATCCATATTTCTCAGCAGCAGCAGCTCAAATTTTCAAGCTGTCTAGAAGGCATCAAGACTCCTTTTTTTTTTTTTAAATCACATGCAGACCTGGTTGGGCTCACAAAACCAAACCATTGTGAACTATGAGATAGAAAAGTCAGAGAGAGGGCAAGCTGCCCGGTCACATGACCGACTTTCACTTCACTTCAGGCCTTACTCAGCACTTGGGACAGAGAGCTGAGGACTCCCTGTCTCTGCTTCCCAGGTACACTTTTAACTTTGAGCTCACCCCCATCCAACCAGCTGCTCCTAAGGACTGCTTCAAGAAGCACAACCGCAAGTTTCTCTCCAACTCAGATCAACCTCCAGGCTCTACTCCCAATTTAGGCCCGCCACCACTTCCTACCCTCTTTTAACTAACTCATTCTGTGCCTTTTATAATGGGATTTTTAGCCCTTCCTCTCATCACTTTAGCTAATCAGCTAAAATAATTAATTGCTTTTACCTTCCTTCCCCTCTTCTAATCTAGCTAACCTTGGTCCTTACTTCTCTTCTGTTAATCCACCACCCATACAAAAATTATGTAAATAAAATATAAGGAAGGCATTTATCTTCAGTAAAAAGATATTCATAGCTATATACACTAAGCTGCGGGCACTTTTTCACAACTATTCAATTCCTCATCTCTTTTCACTATCTGTGAGTGACTGGCTCAAATGCCCCAGTTTTCATTAGTCATGCCAAATATACCCATGTATTCAATTCTAACTTCACTATGAAAATACAGCGTTCATATATGTTAGGCCTTTCTTTCCTAATTTCTTACAGTTTGGTGGATACACTACTTGATCTTGCCTATAGTAATTTACAATAAACTACAGTACCAACAGTCAAAAATGTTAGCAGGATCTATAAGTATGTCTGAATTTGACAAGATTTGACTTTCTTGAGGATAGGAATCAAGTTATAGTAATCTGTATATTTCTTAACAGCATAGAGTATTCTGCCTTTTATGCAAGGGGCATTCAATCAACTTGATTGAACTTAAAACAACAAGGTAAATGAGAAGTAACGTCTAACTGCTGCTCCATGAATGTGAACCTTAGATTTGTTCAAAGCCTGAGTGCCTTTGGGACGACCACAGTCTCAAGGACCTCAGAAACCTCTCCTGGAGAGTGGCAGGCAAGAAGACAATAAAGAGCAAAGTAACACTAGGATCACTCTCTCCTGACAAACTACCCAGGAAGTGCAAGAGGGTGCTTCCACACCTCTCCTACCTATCACAATTGAAATAATACAAGTTTCTTGGAGGCCAAGGATTTTGTCTGATCACGAAGCAGTTGCACACACAGGCAGTGTCCCAAAATTATGGATGAGGTGCTCCTCAATATCTTGCTGGCCCATAACTGGCGGGAAATAGACATTTAGATGTGTGTCTGTCATCTCCACGAGAATACGCTCACCTATGACACATACCTTGAACACAAGAGCCTGTACCTTAATCCTTTTAAATCCCTAACAAAGTCCAGTACCTAATAATATAATCAACTTTTAACTTTAATTGAGAGGTTGCATTGATAGAGCTAGAGAAGACAGGAGTTCTGGTATCAATCACCAACTCTACCAATAACTTCAGGCAAGTTATAACCTTGCTTGACAGATAAAGGGAATTATTTTACAACTTGAAATCAAGGTGCACTTAACAGGGACAAAAGTGAATAAGTTTATTTTTAGATGGTAGTGCTTATTAATGAAATAGCAGTCTTATGCATTAAATATCCACTTATTTTTTGTCATCCCCAGTGAAATATCCTAAAGGAAATCAACCCTGAATATTCACTGGAAGGACTGATGCTGAAGCTGAAGCTCCAATTCTTTGGTCACCTGATGTGAAAAGCCAACTCACTGGAAAAGAACCTGATGCTGGGAAAGACTGAAGGCAGGAGAAGGGGACAACAGAGGATGAGATGGTTTGGCAGCATCACTGACTCAATGGACAAGAGTTTGAGCAAACTCAAGGAGATAGTGAAGGACAGGGAAGCCTGGCATCCTTCAGTCCATGGCGTCACAGAGTCTGACACAACTTAGCAACTGAACAACAAAGTGAAATGTTTGGATCATTAACTGATCTACAGTCTGGCCTGATTTAGGAAACGTGTCACCAGATGATCCTTGAAATTCCTTCCAACTCTAAAGCTCCCTGATTATCTAAGAATAAGCTCAGGACGATCCAGGAATCACAAATATGCCTTTCCTTCACCCAGTCTGCTTAAGAAATCCAGGTGGGAGGAGGTGTGATGTCGCAGAGCAATCCCTGCACAGAGTTCCCAAGAAGAGAATGCGGCAAGAAACAGCCCCTGGGGGCTCAGCACCAAGGTGCCTGGCACAAAGGATATGGAAATCACCTGAACGGAGAGACAGCTCTGAACTATTAAGAAAGATTTGTTCCAGGACTTGAGAAACTTGCCTCAACCAGTCCACTCTTTGTCCCCAACAAGCCTGGTAAGAAGTCACCTCTCCTGTAGGATGGCAGACTGGCCTAGGATCTCTAAGGTCTCTTCCAGGATAGTCCCACGTGAGCAGAACTGAAGCTTTTGAGCACTCCCTCTCCAAGACCAGGAGTAAATTCCTGTCCACTTGCCGATGCGCTGAATGCCCTCCCTGCAAAACGGAAGAGCGCTTCCCTACAGGGCACACGTGCCCCGAACGGGGAGACTATTTCGAACCACACCCGTCCTCTCTTTGGAAGCAAGGGCGCCAAGTCCCTCGGGTGCACGGGAAGGAAGGCGGAGACGGACACTGCCTGCGCGCTCAGGTCTGCACCTTTGGCCGCCCTCGCAGCGTGCTTAGGGGCAGCAGGATTGCACCCCAGCGAGCTGGGGGCGTGGTGAAGGTCACTGCGCGCCCGGCGGGACGGCCGAGGGCCCGGGCCGGGGCTCACTCACCCACAGGCTGTTGAAGTAGTCCAGCCCGCGGCAGATGAGCGCGCCCGCGTGCGCCAGCAGCACCTGCACGCCCAGGTAGCTGCCCAGGCTGTAAAGGCCGTAAAGGAGCGGGCCGCCGGCGCCCAGCAGCAGCAGCAGGCGGCGGCGGCGCAGCGCCTGCTCGCCCAGGGCCTCCACGCCATAGTCGGCGAAGCAGATCGGCAGCAGCAGCGCGGCCAACACGATGGGCGTGTGCGCGCGGTGCAGGCGCTGCAGCCAGTGGCGCCCCAGGCGCGTCAGCGAGCTCTTGAAGGGGTGCAGGAAGGTGCCGCACAGCACCGCCCAGAGCAGCGGGCGCAGGAAGGCCTCCAGGATGAAGTAGACCAGCACGGCGGCGCCGCAGCACAGGCACACGAACAGCACGGCCCCGGTGTTGTAGAAGGCCTGCTTGATGGGCTTGTCGAAGCGCAGCGCCAGCGCCGCTGTCCGCGGGGTCTCCCCGCCGCCGCCGCCTGCCCCGACCGCACGCCGAACCTGCGGCGCCCGGCTCGGGGAGCCCCGCGGACTGAGTGCCTCCTCAGGGCCGCCATCGTCGGCCATGGTGCCTTGGCCGCTGCCGCCGCCTCCGCCGCCAAGAGACGGTACTGGGAGGCCTGGAGAGAGGCAGGGCGGGCGACACACGGCATTGTGGGAGTTGTAGTTCCTAACTGACCACGGAAAGCTTACACAACCTTTGAGGAACTCCAACTCCCAGAGAGTATAGCGAGCGCTCCTTCGCCCGCGGGCTCCCTGTGGTTCATTGGTCCCTGCAGAATTCAGGTAACAGGTTTCGGAGGTCTTCGTGTTAGAAGATGCAAAAAACAAACTTTCCTCTCCCCGCCAACATACAGTATAAAAGCAGTGCATGCTAGCTCAATTCAAGTGTTCTGTTAGTCACAAACTAGGGGGAGGGGAGGAATGTCAGATAACAGCCTTTACACAAAACACCCTGAATCATAAAACAAAACAAAACCCTCCCTTCACTCGCTGGTTAATGTCGACTTTTAGGGAGGCAGAATCCCCAGAGTCACTATCTTCACAGATTGAAAACCCAAGCTGCACATTACAATCCGTAGGGGAATACTTTAAAAAGACCAATTACCATATTCAGTTTTATTGATTTATTTAATAAAGTGTTGGCTCTGGTGTGTTTGGCAGGATTTTAAATAGCGATTACCATATGACAGACCCTGTTATACATGTCTCATACCTGTTAACTCATCTGACCCTTAGAAGAGCCCTACAAAGAAGATGGTGTTATTATCCCCACTTCTCAGTGAGGAAAACTGAGGCTCAGAGAAGTTAAGTACCTTGCCAAGGTACACAGCTAGTACGCACAGAGGCAGGGTTCAAACTCAGAGTCTGACTCCTAAGTCGATTCTTACCTACTGCTACTGCTGCAACTGCTACTGCTAAGTCACTTCAGTCGTGTCGGACTCTGTGCGACCCCATCCCTGGGATTCTCCAGGCTAGAACACTGGAGTGGGTTGCCATTTCCTTCTCCAGTGCATAAAGGTGAAAAGTGAAAGTGAACTCGCTCAGTCTGACTCTTCCCCACCCCATGGACTGCAGCCTGCCAGGCTCCTCCTTCCATGGGATTTCCAAGGCAAGAGTACTCGAGTGGGGTGCCATTGCCTTCTCCCTCTTACCTACTAGGTTAATTAATTGGTCTGACAAGGGAGCCTTTAGCACAGGGGTCCTCAACCCCCAGGCTGCAGACTGGTACCCATCAGGGGCCTGTTAGGAAATCAATGCCTCAGCAGGAGAGGAGCATGCGGGAAGCAAGAGATGCTTCATCTGCAGCTCCCCACTGCTTGCATTACAGCCTGAACCAGCCTCACCCCCAGTGGAAAAACTGTGTTCCATAAAACCAGTCCCTGGTGCCAAAAACATTGGGGACCACTGCAAGTTGAGCATATTTTTTTTCAAAGCTCTTCAGAAAACTCTAATGCGCAGCTGTTGTTGACAACCATGTAGGTGTCAATGCTGGAGCAATTTAAACTTCTGAAGGAACACTAGGTCAGAGTCTCAACCTGCCGCTGTTCCATTTTTGAGACCTGAAGTCAGGTCAGTTGAGCCCCCAACCCTAATTTCCCCTTTCACATGGGAGTGACAATAGAAACTCTTGTGTCAGAAGAGAAAAATGAAGCTCTGAGACAATGCATGGTGCTTCTGTTTTCTTGTTGGAAAGGTCCTGGTACCTAAGCCTACTACTTGTAAAACACCTCCAACAGCATTTTATTTAGAAAAAGAAGAGAGAAAGAGAGGGGAGGAAGGGAAAGAAGAAGAGAAGGAAGGGGAGGAAGAGGAGGAAGAGGAGAAAGGGGAGGAAGAGGAGGAAGAGGAAGAAAAAGAAAGGAGTGAGGAAAGAAGCGGGGAGGGAGGAAGGTTTTACTGAGTACTCAATATGAGAGTACTTTGGAACTCTGCAGGTTACCCCTCTTCTGTTTTCAAAAAAATGTTCAAGTAGAAGAAAAAGTGATTCCTTTCCATCCTGTTTTGGGTTTCAGGTCACAGTCCTTGTTTTTCAAGTGGTATTTGGACTTGACTAAATAATTTGCTTCAGTTGTCCTAAACCGTCCTTTTTCCTCTTTACTTTGTTCAGGGCTGCTGGGGTAAAGAATCCGCCTGCCAATGCAGGAGACGCAGGGGTATGGGCCATTCATAGTACAGAGCATAAGCTCAGGGTTTGCTGAGCAAGTGAATGGATGATTCGCTATCCTTTCAAAAAAGTTGTTTGTGCTTCCTGTGAGAAATAGTACTGAAAAACTGGGAGTGATTAAGAGCAGAGAAAAATTAAAATGCTGGGATGTAGGGCCTACAAAATAAATTTACACAGTCTACTCAAATCTCTCACAGAGTGTATGCTTTTAGGCACATCCTCCAGAATGTGAGGCTACTTGAAGTGAAGTGAAAGTCACTCAGTGGTGTCCAACTCTTTGCGACCCCCTGGACTGTAGCCTGCCAGGCTCCTCTGCCCATGGAATTCTCCAGGCAAGAATACTGGAGCGGGTAGCCTATCACTTCTCCAGGGGACCTTCCCAACCCAGGGATCAAACCCAGGTCTCCCTCCTTGCTGGCCGATTCCTTACCTGCTACCAGGGAAGCCTGAGGCTACTTGGGTTTTCTTTTTTAACGCCATGTAGCAACTCACCTCAGGGAAGAACAGCCTCTGTGGGCCTCCAGGTACAGCGATGGTGCAGAAGAGTGGATCAAGTTAACCCTGGGACCACACTGCCTTTGGCCTGCTTGTTGCGTGAACTGATGAATTTCCTAACCATTTAAGCCAGTTTGGGTTCAGTTTTACATTTCGTGCAACAGAAAGCTTTCTTGCTGATAAAATGATAACACCTACATCATTGGCTGCTGTGAGGATAAAATGGGAGAGTGTTTCTAAAGCAGAGGCACAGTGCCTGGGACATGGTGAAAATCTGATAGTGGTTCCCAGGGTGACTCTTCATTTTGTCCTAGAGACACCAAGAGGCATCTCTTAAACCACAGTCAACGTCCACAGACTCCCAGGGCATCAAGATAAAAGCCCCAGAGGTAAAACAAACACAGGAGAGGATTCTCCAGGGCATCATGTCTGTCTTAGAGTGTTTACTGAGTTGTGATGAGCACCTCCTTTAAACAAAAATCTTGTGCTTACAGTGCAGTGTATACATTACACATAAAAGAGGTGTGTACAGTACAGAAGGAGAAGCTATGTGAAAAGGTAATCAAACAGACGTGCATTTAGACTCCAAATATGAGTTACCACTCTCTTTTCACAAAACCCATAGCAGACATCGCTAATCAATCACTGAACTCTTTCTCACTGAGCCTAGATACAGCCTCAAAATCCTTCTTAGCAGAACATATTAGGGAAGCACTACCAACTCCACAAAGTAAGCTCACACAAGGAAACATATTTGCTTTTTCTATATTAAACTAGCCATCCAGAGACTTCCCTGTTGGCCCAGTGGCTAAGACTCCACACTCCCAACATAAGGGCTCCTGGGAACTATCCCTGGTCAGGGAACTAGATCCAGAGTGCTGCAGCTAAGACTGAGTCCAGCCAAATAAATAAATAATTAAAAAAAAAAAAAAACCATTCAGTGTCTTGATACTAGATAAAACTGGCAGACTAAAAATGTAAATAAATGGTTTAGAAGAAAAGAGTTTGGGAAATATGAACATGAGAAGTTACTGAAGTTGTTTTTTTTTTTTTTTAAATCTCAGTGCCTGAAGAAAGAATGATGCAACCAAGTCTGATACCATCGGGGCCTGCCTGACCACCCCTGCTTAGCTCTGCTATTCCTGCGCTGAGACATGTGTCCTTACTTAAAGCACAAGTCCTGCCGGTTCACTGAGTGGTGTCTAGCCTTTCCTGCCTCCGGGCTCCTGTTCATCCAGTCTAGGTTCCTGTCCTTCTGGCTTGCACCATCCAGCTGTAGCTGACCTTCCACACCATGTCAACAAAGACAAAGTTTACCAGTTCACTGAAAAGGTCAGTGAAGAAATCACCAAATCGGTTCAACCAACCCAGCTGAGACCCAGGTATCCAGCAACAGACCAGATGAGTAAAAGAAACCTGGGAAGTTCTTTGGGGGCAAACATACATACACACAATCCCCCTTTACAAAAAAAATCTGCAACCAAAATTGCTCCCCCTTTCTCTTCCAGGGTAGGAGGAAGTTTGGTAGAGGGGATTGACATCTACAAGATGAATTTTGTGATTAACAGTTATTACTAAGAGCCAGAACTGCCTGTCTAAAAAATGGCTGGTGGAAAGTGTCCTTTGCTGTTAGGACAGGACACATTTTCATAGAAGTGATTTTTTTCTGGAACGTTTTATCTGGAATGATTGAAGTATGAGAGCTAGGGACCAGGTCTTGGAATTCCTAGTCTACCCTGGCTCTGTTCCCAACAATATACTCCAGCTAACGCTGAGGCTACCCAGAGTATAAAAAACCAGCCTTCTGCTGCAAATTAGAGCAAGACTGATCCACCAGGAGATGGTGGAAGCATTTCAAATTGACCAGACTAATCCCTCTTTTATTTACAAGTAAACTATCTTTAGTGGAGAATCAAGTCCTGCTGGGTTTGAATCCTAAGTACTTGTTTGTACACCCTTGGCGCCACACTGATGTCACTGCAGCCTCCAGCTCGTCCCTCCATCTGCCCTCTTGCTCACTCCCATCAATTCTCTACCCTGTAGCCAGCGTGATCATTCTCAAATACAATCTTAGGGTGGGATGTTTCGAGAGAACAGCATCGAAACACGTATATTATTTAGGGTGAAACAGATCACCAGCCCAGGTTGGATGCATGAGACAAGTGCTCGGGCCTGGTGCACTGGGAAGACCCAGAGGGATCGGGTAGAGAGGGAAGTGGGGGGGGGGATCGGGATGGGGAACACATGTATATCCATGGCTGATTCATGTCAATGTATGACAAAAACCACTACAATATTGTAAAGTAATTAGCCTCCAACTAATAAAAATAAATGAAAAAAAAAATAAAATACAATCTGATCCCTTCAAATCCTCCTTACCTTGTGGCAAGGTTCCAAGCTTTTT